TGGTTTTCCACACACTGGAGGCCTGAAAAATCAGTTCATCTTTACCATATTGTTTATGTATTTATAGTATTATATTCTGAGAATTCATTAGGATACATGGCTGGAAAATTCCCATTTGAAGTAGAATTGTTGTTAAGCAACTTTAAAATTTAATTAGAATTCTTTGTTGCATTTCATTATGAGGTTATTTCATAATTACTCAGCACGTCCTAAGTGTTACTAATGCAGAGGTGACAGTACATCATAGTGCCAAATTACAACTGCACAGCTGGAGAAGATACTTAGAAAAATGAAGAGCAGATAAATGCATCATTTAAAATGCAACAGAGGAGCACTCAGCACTGAGCATCCTTCCCTCCCTCTCTCCAGCTACTATTCACAGTTGTAAATAATGCTACAGAATTCAGTGCAGTCATCTAATATTTTAAGGAGTCTACCAAAAAGAAACAGCTGGTTCTTTACAAATGCAGCTGACAGAAGTCAGGATACTAAATAACCAGGAGAAAGGTACAGTCCTATACCACACCGAAATAGACAAGTTGCCACCATTTGTGCTGCACTTATTGCATGGCATGTAATACGGCAAGACAGCATGCAGGGATACATCTCAACATCTGCTGAGACACACAGCTTTTATTGTGAGGGGAAAAAGAAAAAGCAACAAAAAATGCAAACAAGAAAAACACAAAATCTAAACCTACAAATTCTTTTGGCTGAGAAATATCTGCATTCTTTACCTCTCAAATTCTGCACTACAAATGAAGTTACTACTACCACTCCGTCTGCTTAAATAACATGTTAACATGCTGCCATTTCTGAGAGAGGAAGAGACATTAGTGTGCAGACATTGTCTGTGCATGCATTCAAAGAAGTGCAGTCCGTATTTTAGTTTCTTACATCTGAAAATATTAAAGTTCAACGAAGTACTTATGGGAAAACATTGATCCACTGTGCCTTCCTTTCTCCTTTGACTAGAAAAATCCCGATAGGAAACACAATGTAGATAACTAATTATCCTTAAATTAAGCAATTTCTTCCAGTTATGTTGAATACCTTTATTGGCTACTTTGATGAGTATAAATATAAATGATTTTCTTCCTTTGCTTTTCCTGAAGCCAAACTGTGTATCCTACAGTCACTTATTTCTTAAGTGCCTGGAGAGCTTAGAATTTCCCTTTCCCCAGCCCCCACCTTCATCTGTTTATTCTTCTTTCCAACTCCTAAGAAAACCATTGTTTGATTCAAGTAAAAAAACAGAGGACATAGTGAGCTTTTTCTCTCGCTGTTCCATTCAGAGCTTCTTAGCTTCCTTCTCTTGTGTTCTTTCCTTCGTCTCTTCCTATATTTTCATCCTATTTTCCTCCAGCTGGTTCCAAGGATGCCTGTTGCTATCACCAAGATTGTGCCTGTGGCCAGAGTTTCATACACCCTGAACCAGGCCATGCAGCTCTCCCTCACCCTGCTTCTTCCAAACCTTGCATCATTTACTTCCTTGTGCCTCAGGGGGCTGATTCAGGCTAAAGTCCAACCCAGTGACAGGAATCAAAGGCAGTTTTTAAATGCAGAGCACTGCAATGATTTTTCCTTGTTTTAAACCCAGGATAAAAAAGGATGATGTACAAACATGAAAGCAGGGACATAAAATGTCTAACAGCTTCTTTTAGTAGTTGCACTGGCTCAAATAAATCTAAAGCAAATGCAGAAATATCACATCAAATTATCAGTTCCTCATTTATTTTTTCAATGAGCTAAATTTCACCTAAATCGTAGAGGAAATTTATTGACCAGGGTTCTGCGAACTGGCACAAATGCTAGCAGCCAAAGCATCTTTATACAGAAAAAACAGTATCTGCTGATTTTGTTGGTCTATGACAATACCATGAATAATGCAGTTGCACAGAAACCATCCCCCAGAAAAAAACAATCCAGTTTCCATGACTGAATGGCATCAAGTTACCCCAGACAGCTGACTGTTTTACAGGCTTCCCCATAGAATGAACATTTTTGTTTCAAACATGCTGGGTGAGACAGTACCCTCAGCAAAAAACAAAGCCCACAGTATCTTTAAGTTTTTGCAGACCAAGCTTACAAGCACTATAAAAATATTTAGGAGCACTTGTTGAAGTCTTATCTGCCACGAGCAACTACAGCACAAATGTTGCTTTTACAGATGATGATTTTCAATGCTGTACCAGTAAAAATCATTACTTCCTTGCCTACATCAGCAATCTTAATTTAAATACAGATATCAAATTAAACTAAAATGAGCAAATAGTTTGGAGAGTATGAGCTAATAGCTTAGGAGAATGTCCTTCTAATGCTGGTTTTTGAAAATCTTTTGCTTTTTGTTTTCTATGTAACTAAAGAAATTAAAGAAATGTCCTGCTAAAATACACTTTCTTTGAGATACTGGACTTTCTCACCAATCATAACGCCTTTTACTACTAACAAGCTCTTACACTTCCTAAATGAATTTGGGAACATATACATCCGATTTTCCAGCACTCAAAACCTTAGCTGACAAAATATTACAATGCAAAATATAATCACCTCTGTTGCCATAAAAACTTGGTTTCCTTCCTTCACAGATCACAGAACATCCTTCCTGAAGCTTGAAGACCCCAGTAGAATAAAAAGTGAACAAACCTACTGCTTCAGGAAGACATAAAGCAGTAAATTAAAATGGAAATATAATACTGCATTTTTAGATTAAACACTAATTATTTCACAGAATAGAGAGTCTTCATGAAAAACGTTGACCTGTGCACTTAAATCAGCTTAAGACTATCCAAAAGACTAATACTTTTTCTTACCACACATTTTCACGTGTTGACAAAAATAAATCAAGTCAAAGAACACTTTTTTCCATAAAGAAATAGCAGTAATAGTTAATTCATGCCTACAAAAAAGTGGGTTTGGTCCAGACTGTACAGTTGAAGCAGAACTGTCTGTAGCACAAGAATAAACTACTGTTAGGAAAATATAAAAAAAAAACCGTAATAATAGATAAATATACAGTCATGCTTCACTTTGTACATTTGCAACTGTCTGTGAAGACTGACTGCTATGCTTACATATCAATAAATAATACTTTTTGCTGTGAGTATTCATAATTACTTCACATCTTGATTTTTGCAGGGCCTAATAATATATTGTTCATTAACTTCATAAAGGTCACTATGAAAATAGAAGATCAAACTAACTCCAGTTCTATCTGTGAATGGCAGAAGCTGAGGAACGATAACCAAACTAGGAGTTTAAAATGGAATCAGAAAGTAATATTTGCCTAACTGGCTGTCTTATACCTGCTGAGAACACTCTTTTCTCCCTTGTGATTAGTCATTTACCGTCAAAAATACCAATAAATATTGTAGACTGTGTATTTTGCTCAAAAAAGCAAAATACACTGTTTCTGTCTTACTTTACATTAAATAAGATCTGTGCTCTACAACGCTTGTATTAGAAAATGAGGTTATAAATAAAAGCTGACATAGTTATTAAAAACATAATGTAATATCAAACTCAATTCCCTTCACAAATAGCAACACACTCTATAGTTAAAACATCTCTTTTCCTCCTGTGTTGGCTTTGCCTTTGTTAACAAATGTGATCACATCACAGTATTTACCAATTCATGCCTATTAGCTTTGCAGCTAAACACGTGCTTTCCTAGTGACTGCTAAAATAAAAAGTAAACCTTCAGCATCCTTGCACAGTTTAACATACTTTTAAGAAATATTTTTTTTTTGTTTCATTTTATTTTTATACATAGGTTTTTGCTGCACATATCCTGGCAACTCTTGGCAGCTCAAGGGTATTTTTTGTCACTTTTTGTACTCAAGAATAATTGATCTGTAAGTTAAAGGGAAAAGCACATCTTTTCACAGCATGTATCTACTGGATGACTTCTGAATGCTTTAGGTTAAAAGTAGAACTTTGTTTACTCTTTCTATTTCACAATATTTTCTTGCGAGAATCTGTATAAGGGTAACTACACTAACATTTCTAACTGGAGGTAAATTATCTAAGTATGTGCTTAGGTAGCCAGCAGTACTGGTCTGTTTTTCTATAAAATAAATGCCTGATTTGTAGTTAAATAGTAATAATTCTTGCCTGTACTATATACACACTATACATTTGTTAAATGATGATTGTACTGTAATGGTTAATATTAAACGAAATTGTCTTACATGCAGAAAAGTCAGCTGTAAACATTTAGCTTGTAATTGCAGTTATTTCTTCCTCAGTGCTGCTGGTGTAGAACATTTCCTCACAATGACCATAAATCACATTCCTTCCTGTCACAGATTCTCTTCTATGTGCATATTTTCACCTTAATGTTTTAGGATTTTTTTTTTTTTTAATCTAAAAGGATGCTCTGTGAAGGCTATGATTCTGCCAGTACTTTAAGATCAGGCTGTCATCTACTGCCTCATTGTTGTTTATTATCAACATCATTAAAAAAAAACCTTGACCCTTTATGCAGAAATAATAAACTGCCTTTTTTTTTTTTTTCCTCCCCCCCAAGGAAGGCTGTTCTCATCTAAGGACAAAATTCCAAAGAGAGACAAAAAGAATTTGTGTAACGTGTCAAGGTGGTCCACACCAGCTAGGTTAACTGCACAAGCTCTCAGCAGAACCTTTTCAAGGAGTTAGGTGCTTCTGAAACAGGCATAGATGCTCATTTATATAGCACTAAATACCTAATATCTCCAAATTCCCACCCCAATTGCAGATAAGGTGCTTAAGAGCTGAAAATTAGATGAATACAGCTCATTCAGCTACTCAGACTCAAAATCCTACCTCACTTTCAGTAGCCACCAAGTTGAGGTAGATTTCTTTTCTTTGGCAAATGGACTTGTGAGAACTTCTGGAATGGACTGCCCAGGGAGGTGGTGGAGTCACCGACCCTGGGGGTGTTCAAGAAAAGGCTGGATGTTGTGTTGAGGGACATGGTTTAGTAGGAGCTATTGGGAATAGGTGAACGGTTGGACTGGATGATCTTTTAGGTCTTTTCCAACCTTGGTGATTCTATGATTCTATGATTCCTCAGGAACAAAGGAAATTCCTTTGCCTGTAAAAGTTTCAGGCCTGTCATTTCTTCTACAAACATCCTTTCCAGCTGCTTATCCAGTCAGGCTGCATTACTGATTCAAGGGTATTTGCCTGCATCCTGACCCTTTTCATATTCTAAAAACTTTGTTGAAATCAGTTGACTGTCCTTGAAAATAGTGGAAAAGTTACATTTTCTAAAAATTCACCTAGCACAGAACAACAGACTGCATGTTGCCATTGTCTTTTAAGCAACTTATTTTGCTGTTCAGTGATAAGTTCTTCCATTACTCACACTACAAATGCTAGTTTAAATCCATTATTATGGTGAGTTGTGTTACAATACAAAACCTTCCCCTATATAGCTTACAGCTTACATCAGACATACAGGTACAAAGATGCAGGTGAGCAGTGAGTGGATGGCAGGCAATGCTCTGAGGGACCTGAGCCTCAAAGACAAGACCTCAAGATGGGCACAGCTAAGAATAGGCCTGTCTGAGTGATCCTGATATTGTGTGGTAAAGTGCTTCAAGTAGTGAGCAAGGTAACAGAGTTATAACTCTGAGCTTCTGGAAATCAGGTTAAAGCTCACTTAGGAATCTACCTGCACCCAGTGAGAGACTGCCCCCTGCTTGGGTCAGGCCCCCAAGCTGCTTCCCTAGGATAACTTCTCTGAAGCAGGCCTGGAAAAACACCAAACACCAAGCAGGTGACACAGAGGGTTGAGCAGGCGGACCCTGCCTGAGCTCAGGGTGACTAACGAAGCTCATGGAAGAAACTTTTGGAAGACTGTAGGGACACTAGGAAAGTACACAAGGATGAGCATTGCAGCAAAAAGGATTTCTATAGGTATATTCAGGGATGGTGAAAAATAGGAGCTCACCATTGAATAAGAGAGAGTACAAATTACATGGGAAAGATTGAGGTACTCAGTAGTTTTCATTTGTTTGTTTTAAGGTTTTTTTTCTCGAGGATTAAGGTCTGCTTCCTGCCTTACACTTCCCCAGTTCTATTATCAGGACCTGCAGAAAGGCAGCGCTGCAGCATACTGCAGAAGACAAGACAGATAAGGAGCACAGTGTCTTTACAGTTAAGGTAACTAATTGTATATCAAGCTTTACTGGACAGCAGCAAGCAAGTTCAAGAAAGCAACCCTTCCTGTTTTCAGTGCTTTGAGAGAGACCACTTTTGGAGCACTGTGTCCTATTTTGAGCTCACTAGCATAGGAAAACCACTGGAGCATGTCCAGCAGTGGTCTGCCAAGGTGATCAGGGGACTGGAGCACACATCAATCCCTTGTTCAGTCTAAGAAACAAAAGCAGGACAGATTCTGATGGGAACACACTACAGCTTTACTATGTCGGAAAACCCAGTGTAAGCAGGAAAAAAAAAAAAAAAAAAAAAAAAAAGACAAAACAAAAAAAAAACCCTTAAGGAAAAAGGATTAAATAAGGCCATACTGATACAGAAGTCTGGTACACGGATAGCGGAAGCTGGTAGGTAGGAAATTATGCCTCTTCTGTGGAGCTTAACAAGATTGCAGTGTCAGGCTGCCCTTATCTCCCATTTCTGTCATTGTTGCTGTTCCGCTGTTTCATTTCTTCAGGGACTGTAATGCAGAGAATTCTGGATCTGAAATAAGAAGTACTATTTACATTTAAAGGGTTTTTTGCCCTTTTCTCTCAGGTAAATACATTAAAGTTTGCTACCCACTACAATAACTCAGAAACACTCTGCTGTAATTCACTCTTAACTACCTACCAAGAAATACTTGAAGTTAGTGGGTTTTTTTTATTCTAGATAGAAATACTTGACATTACTTTAGCAAGACACTAAGAAATATGCCTAGTAACAAATATTATGATTTGCCACTTAGCTTTTATGAGAACTTCTCTTACTGATATGACCTGAAATATTTTTTCATCATGAAGTCACTGAAATGCTCTTAGATGGAATCATTAAGCGCATCCTTTCGGAAGCGCATTACCATTACTAACTGGCACTTCAAGATAATATTATCACAACAGGCTGTTGCTTCCTTCCTTAGGATGCTGCCTTCATTCAACAAGACCACACTGTCAGGTTACAATGACATGCATCACCGTGGACAAACTTGTATCCAATAGGATTAGGCTAGTCCCCAAACTGTTTTTGAAGCCTAGTCTATTTGTAAACCTGCGACATCCTTTGGTCTAGCTACTGCTTTATGCTACTGTGAGAGGCAATATCCTTAAAGTAGGGCACAGTTAGGGAACAGTGAAAGAGAAGAGAAGACAGAAAGAGCAGGAGCTGCTTTCTGACAGAATGCTACATGCAGTTCTTGAGTTATATTGACTATCGTCTTCATCAGCTTGTAAGGGATTTCTGAACCACTTACAAGCAAAATGCATTCGCACCTCTCTTCTTGATCCCTAACACAGACGGGAGGTTTGATTACTTGACCTGTAAGAATTCTGATTATCAAAAGACAGACATGCATCAGTGCTTGGCATGCAAAGGCAACATACATGCATCATATGTACTCACAGCACATAAGCATTGTGATCAGAAATAGCAAAGGTGGATCTGATCGCCAATAAAGTGAACTGTGCATGAACCAACTACTGGCATACAGCCAGTTATGTCACTGCTTCTTTGATATGTTGCTGTTAATCAAGTGTGCTGAAATTTTATTTCTTTTCTTATCTGAAAACAAAACAAAACATAATATTTGTCATTAATTCTTAAACACAGATCTGGAATCAACACATGCCTGAAAATCATACTGAACTGTACTGCTGAGCAGTCAAGTGCTGAGCAGACAGCAGTATTGAGATATACGTTGTTGCATACACTTGACAACATGCACAGAAGTCTTCCAGGAAAAGGACATTCAGAAACTGAAGACTTAGGTGTTGGGCAGGAAGTGAGAGGGAACAGATCTGACAGTATATCTCTTTCCAGCAGGGAGAAGGCCAAGGGAGGGAGGGAGGCATTTGAACTTCTTTTAGCAGAAAAAAAAAAAGCAAATGCAGGAAGACTGGAAGTGTGATTTGAGGTGACTAGCTCAGACAATGATAACACTTGTTTAAGTGCTTTGAATGGTTTGCTCTTCCATTTCACTGGTAGAATATGCATGTATCATTTGTTTAGCTCAAACTTAAAGGACTTGTTTTTCATGATAAAGTTAGCATCTCAAACGAAATAATGTAATTTCCACAACTCCAAGAAATGTAGAAGTTTTATGGAAAACTTCCCTAGATTAGTCATCTGTATTACATTTTAAGGGGATTGCCTGAAATGAAGCTTAGTCAGCTCCCTATTAACAAACACATAATAATGCTGGAGCTTCAGTTGCTTCAAAAATAGATTCTTCATAGCAATCTAGATTTTTGCTATTACAATTCTAAATGACACACAACTCTCAACAGACCAGAATATAAAAAACAGACAACAGGGTTATGGTTTGCTTAGATTCTCTTCAGAGAGGAGAGAGAAAGGGAAGCAGAGGAAGTAAAAAGCAACACAGGAATTCATATATTTCTAAGTTGTTGGAAACAAAAGGCATAAAAAGGCCCTCACCTCACAAAACTTTTCCTTTCTCCACCTGCAGCCATTTCTATCTTATTTAGCAAATAACCTCTGCTTTTCTTTAAGTTCCTTGGAGTCTTGAAGAAAAACTCTCAACTGGGTGCAAAGCAGGGAAGCAATGCTGACAGAATCTCACAGCAACTTCCAAAGTTCTAGCAGCCATGGTTTAGAAAGAGAAAAGGCTATGAAAAAAGTTAAATAATGACAACCCAAATGAAAAATCCCTCTCTTCACTACCAATTTTCTCCACACGCTCTCTCAACACTGCACAGACTTATGCTGTTATCACCCTACTCTTAGAAGAATTCAGAATTCCACTCATTTCAAACAGCAAAATGAAGGTTAAAGGTGGGAAGAAGAAAAGGGAAGAACAAAACCAAACAAAAATATTTATCATTCTCTATACACTCAAAAAGATTTTTATATATTATAATTTTTCTCTGAAGGTGACAGAACAGCTTTCACCAAAATTTATACAAGAAGTTTAATGTTTACTTATATACACTCTAAAAGCAGAAATACAAAACAAAAATTAAGGCCACCATTACTGTACGGGAGATTTGTAGCGTAAGTAATTAACAACTCTGTGGAGAGATTAGACTAATAAACACTGTAAGAGCTAATGAATAAGTTTGCCTGGGTTCAAAAATATTAGCAATGATTAACATGCCAAAACATAGAAACATATTTGTTAAAATAATTATTTTCTGCTAATAAAATATATTTTTTAAATTGCCAAGTATTTTAAATACAGGGTTTTGGTTTTTTGTGTTTTTTTTTTTTTTATCCCATTTATGTATATGTAGGTTTTTGGGTTTTTCTACACCTGAATTTTTAGAAGAAAATCTTCCACTTCTCTATACTTCAGGCTCTTGTACAAACACTATCTACTCAAATTTTCAAGCTGGCAAATTCAGAAGTGATCACACCTAAACAATAATTCTATCGTGATTTACTCAATTGCTTTCCACCACAGCTACCTTTTAAATATCAGGTAAGAATTCACCCTTAAGAAAGAGTAAGAACGAGCAGGTTTGTTCTTTATTATTCATTTCCTGACAAAATCTGCTCCTACAGAATACCAGCCAAGAACACAGAAGATTTTGCTGAATTAGAAGGATACATGAATGTTTTAAATCAAGCCAGAACTACGTGAAAATGTAACTCAATGCTGTCACTTAAGAAGCACAGTGCTAAATTCTTTCCCATCAATTCATCCCCTCTTCTCATCTTTCTACAACTTTCTCTGAAAGAAAAAGCACACCACTTAACTTCAAAATGTTAAACTTTCAACTCTTGGAGGAAATATTAATTTAAATGTTTCTGTTATGTCAGTAGCTTTGTACATTTTCTTTATTTAAACGTTTCTTCAGTTGTTCTAGATGTCTTGCATCAGTATCCTGTAGTATTAAGACAGTGGCTTTAGACTGAAATGGATTAAACTCTATAGTCATCAAACAACAGAGATCTATCAATTGTTTCTGGCATCTTTCTAAACCGTCCTTAAGCTTTGACTGTAAAGCTGGATCTTTTCTCAACATATGCATTTCAGGCACTGAAAATCCTATCAAACTTGTTAGAATATCATCAGCAAAATCTACTTCAAGGTAAGCAGAGCCATCTGAAACTTTAGCTTTTATACCCCAGGACCCATTACTGCTTGTGAGATTTCCAGTGAGAGTCACAATAAAACACTTCACTTTCACAACTGTAACAGTTTCTGGCTTTTTTGCAAGGAGAAGGGAAATGTATGTGAAAGGTGGAGAATTTAAATCGAGATAACGTGCATTTTCTGGTCTGCAAAGAACGGCCTGCTGATCTGCTTCTGGAACAGTTTTTGAGAAAGATACAGGATCCTTGTTCAACTGCCTGCTGTCAGGAGCATGACGGGACTGACAGCTGCTCTCATCCAGGCCTAAATCATTCAGTCTTTCTTCATGAGGAATTTCCCAAAGAACAGTAGCTGAGCTGCAGGCCTGAGATACACTGTTACACTGTAAAAAGCCACTAGTACTAGTTCTATCACCAGTAGATACTGTTCTTCCTAGATTTTTTCGCTGGCTGGTAACTTCTACAGGCTTCTCCCATTCACATCCATCATCTTTTTCAGAAGTTTCACTTAAAGATGAACCACGAGAGCTTCGGTATATATGTGGAATTCTCTCAGTACTTAAATTTACATTTCCATTCCTGGCAACTGATGGCACTTCTTGTAGTTCTCTTTGGATCTCTTCTTCCAGAAGAATGTCATCTTCCAAAGGAAAGTCATTTAAAAAGGCATCGTCGTACTCCATAGGAGGTGCGGTTTGTTCATCTGAATGATTTACTGATTCCTGTTGCAAAGCATTTTCATTGTGTGCAGTGAGTGAACCTGAGGCTGTACTAAAATTATTGCTTCTACTGCAGTATCCACTTTCTAAAGATGTTTCATTGTTTAAAATAAAATCATTATTTTCATTAAGACTGGCCAAGAGCTCCTCATCCGAAGGGCCTAGAGATTGTCCTAATCCATCCACAGGACCTGGAACAATTTGTTCATGACCAGATTGTCCAACAGAATCAGGGTTCTCAGCTTCTCCAAGTAATCTAGCAAGGACCCTTTCCTGAGAATACTCCTCCAGAAGAGCATCCACCTCACCACCCAAAAGTTTTACATTTTCTGGTTTAAGCAAAAGGACTCCAAGACGATATGCAACATTACCGTGCACGGTGATTTTTGTTCCAGGTGGAAGGCTGCTATGGAGGACAGGCACTGGCTGATACTCCATGCCCTGGATTTGATGTATCCCATCAGTTAGCTGCAGCATCAGCATTCGGGTAGGCTTTGCTTCCCAGGGCTTTTGGGATGCCTGAGTATTGGCTGTTACTTCTTCATTTACAGTACTTTTCCCTCTTATCTTCTGCAGCTGGGAATATGCTGGTTGGCTAACGTCAAGCAATGAGTCAATCTGCAAGGAGTAAAAGCCAGACAACTCTCCTTTGGGGGCATCTAAGATACCATCAGGCAAAACTGGATATTCCAAATCTCTTAGGTCTGTAAGCAGCCACTGCTCAAATACCTGCCTGTTAATTTGAGCCTGACTTAAGTTGCCGCCACCATTTTCTTCCTGAATCCAATTAATACATGCTTCTAGCCATGTCAAAGGAACTTTAATGTGCCATGTAGATGAAAGCCAGGTTTCCACTCTTGCTGTGACATTAGGTGTAGACATTTTCTTTCAAGCTAAAACAAAATCCAGAAAGATATACTTACACTTCTGACAATAGCTGAATTTGTGACATATCTTTCACTCCTACAATTCAGCAATTTTCTCTCATTTAGAGGCCCAGCTATTCTAAGTATGACAACATAGAAGCATTTTCAACTAGAAACGCTTCCACAGATACTAAAAATAAATATGCAACATTTAAACAAGTAAGCCTCAGCTAGCATCAGCAACCTATGCATCTTGCTCATGGAAGAACAGTACTCAACACCCAGCACTTCTTGGGAAGTCCTTCTTTCCTGATGATTTAATCAGAAGTACGCAACCGCTTCCCCATTGCTGTGTGTGGAAAGACCAGACCGAAACAAATCTCATGACCAGAGCTACACACAAAAATGGGTCTCCTATTTATTTTTTTGTTGTTGTTGTTTTCTTCTTCTGGGTGCCACTGTTAACATTGAATTTACTTCAGGAACTGACCTGAGATAACACTGTCCCATTTCGTGAACAGAAGCAGAAGGCCCCATCCACAACACAGATCTGCTCGCTCCTGTGGCACTGGAGTTGAGCTTCGGGCCGGACCACAGGAAATACCTCTGATATCTCGAGCCTCAGGGCAGGGCTTGACGGCCACACGTCACGGCAGTCAGTACCTGACGATCACTGGGGGCTAAAAGGCCGCAGTTTCTGTTTAGCTTAGGGAGTAGTTGTGTGCATCCAAACTGTATAACCGTGCCCGCAACTACTTCACCCCCAGAACACCCAAAATACACAGTACCTGGTTTTGGCCGCTATATCCCACAGCAACATAAACGAACACCCGCCTCAACGCTCCCTAAGGCCCCACCATAGCACCACCAACCTGCGAACGCCTGGACCAGGCTCAAGGGCTCTCAACAGGCGTAGAGAGACTTCCAGGCACTACCGACGCGCCCCGCACTTACCGCAGCCCCGCTGGGGGGGTCATCCCGAGCCCGCGCGCCGCGGCAGCCAATCATAGCCGCGATCCGCGAGCCGTTCTAGGCCTCGCGAGAGCCCCGCCCCCTCGGCGCCGGGCAGCAGGCGCCAGGCGGGGTTTTCGTAGGCGCCATTTTCTTTGCGCGCGACGAGGGTGCTGTCGGTCTCCTTCGCCATTTCCCGCTGTCTCCACCGCCGCCGCCGCTCCAGGGGCGGCTTTCCGCCCGGCAGGTAGGCGTACCGCTGGGGCGCGGCGGGATGGCGCGGGACGGCGGACATCGCCCTCCCAAAAACGGCCGGGCCGGCCTCGCCGTGGCGTACTCGGAGGGCGGAGCGGAGCGCTGAGGGGCAGCGCTCTTCCCCAACGGGGCGGCGGCAGGGCCGCGCGGGGGGGGGCGCGGCGGAGCCAATCGCCGGGCGGCGGCGGAGGTGCGCGTCGGCCTTGGGGGCTGCACCCCTTTCTCTGCTGTGTGCGCGGGGGCCGGCGGCGGCTGCAGGTAACGTCGGCCCCCCGGCGAGGTGCAGCGGGGGGGCGTAGTGTGCCAGCTGGGCTAGGGGAGGTGGGCGCGGGGAGGCCGGGCCACATCGGGGGGGGCAGCGGGGCCGCGCAGCACCCCTCCGTGACACGGCGAGGAGAAAGGCCCGGGTGGACCCCGGGACTTAGGAGGGTCCCGCGGGGAGCTCGGTGAGGCTGTGTGGAGGAGGAGGAGAGCGGGGCGGCCCCGGCGAGGAGGGGAGGATGCGAAGAGCGGCGTGGGCCCCGCACGAACGGTGCGGCCGAGGCTGGCGGTGCTGCAGCGGCTACTTTGGAGGGCGGGAGAGCGGCCGCCGCCTCCTCCTTTCTCCGCCCGCCCTCGGCAACTCCGCGCCCGGGGCGAGTTGTCGGCGGTTATGGCGGCGGGGGGAGGGCGCTGGCGGCCGCGGCCTGCGCCGAGAGGCTGCGCCGGCACGGAGCGGTGTGTCCCGCGCTGCCGCATGCCTCTTCGCGGAGCCCCTCTTGCCGCCGGGCCGTCCCAGACGGCGAGGCGAGAGCCGCCGGCCGCCTTCTTTGTGTTCCCCGGGGCGGGTGGGGGGAGATTTCCGTGCGGCCGCATGGTGGAGGTTCCTCCGTCGTCGGCTCCGCCTAGCAGCGGGCAGGCGCCATTGCAGCCGCCGCCATTTCTGCTGCGCGCCGACGCCGCCGGTAGCTGCGGCTCGGGCTGCGGGTTACGTAACGGCGGCTGCCCGGGAAGCGGGCGGCGAGGGGAGAGCAGAACCGTGTCTGCCTTTCCCTGTGCTGTTCTCGGGGCTGCGGCCGCTCGTGGACGCTTTGTCCTCCTGGTGCTTGTAAGAATGTTGCGTTCGTCACATTAATGCCACTGGCTCGGTTTACTGAGCAGGCACTGTAACGCAGAGCACCTTAAGTACACGTGACGGGGGAGATTTGCTGTGGGTGATCAGTAAAGGAGGCCGGGGGAGATTAAGCCCTGAACCAAGATATTATATTTCATTCCCTTCCCTGCGGTGCTGAAATTCTTGGGATGGTCGGAAGTGGAATAACCGGTGTTCAGATAGGCTGATTGAACCTTGTAAAAATCTCTTTCACCGCATAATAGCATT